TGCTGTAGTAAACAACGTGTTTGACAATAACTGCAGTACACTGCTGTTTATTTCCCCTGGGAAGTGTAAAATCCAGAGAAGCAGCCGCCATCATCAGATTCTGACACGTTTCTGCTCAGACAGAAGGATGGCACCCAGAGACGAGCGCGAGACCATCTAACAGGATTAATGATGCTCAGGATTCAGCTCCGACTCAATCAGCTGCTCTAACGTTTACACTGATGAAGAAATGATAAACGCCAGACAAAGCCTCCGATGAGCACATCTGGAGACAGGAGGCATGGACAGGACGTGAGTGGGTGGTGAACAGCCTCACCTTCTCCTCTAAACAAGCTGCTTGTGATGTTCTCGTCTCCCACAGAAACCAGCCTCAGACTGCCGAGTTCTGCGAGCAAACGCAAAAAGAATGAATGTCTGGCAGGCGTCGCCATTCAGCTCAGCCAAAACACTGTTTCACCATTCCAGCTTGTTTAAACAAACCTTCTTTTGATTATGAATCATGTTAGCTTTCCCTCCATCCCACCTAGCAGCTGGCGTGGTCCAGATGCCACTCCTCAGCCCCGCCCCGCCCCTGCCAGGTGCGTCGCCTACGGAGGGTTGTTTAAACCTCAGAAGGAAGCTGATACGCACTCCCTGTGACACTCGCATTAGATAAAACTCATGTCTGACTAAGAGTGGAACGCACGAGGAAGCAGGAAATAGTTCAGGAGACGCTGTAATTAGACCTGCGCCAGATTCAGGATAAAAATGTTCCGACGTCTTAAATATTTTAGGGAGCTGAACTCCGATTTGCCGTCTCGTTGGGAAGAAACTGTTGAGAGCAGACAGGTGAGTGATGTGCCTCTGGTAAGGCATCATCTCTCATCCTGCAGGAACCCGGCTGCAGGGATAATAAGTGTGTGTTTGTGCGGCGTTGGGGTGTCAGACGCAGCAGAGCCACAGAAACACACCCTCTCTATGTCAGCGTCGGCCTCCAGGTGCGATCCTGTAAGCTGTGAGAGGACACGCTGACAAGAGTAGAGCTGCTCCAGGTGGACAGGTGTCCCGCGTCTGAGCTGAGCCAAACCGACTTCAACATGTCCGTCACACACCCACGTGGTGAGTGACACCCTCCCACACTAAAGAGGGGGTCTTTACACCATCAGAGGCAGAGGTGTTCTCTTCAGGGGGGGAGTTCAGACCCCACGTCTGATCCATCAGTGTCCAAATGTTTCATGTGGGAGCAACACCTGCTTCAGAAGGCTGCGGGTGTCATTTAGGAGGAACAACAAAACAGGAGCTATGTGATGAAGATCGCTGTTTCTGTTAACGAGGGGACTTTTATTTCAGCTGCACACGTCTGGGGCAGTTATCCATCTGCAGCAAGAAGATGCTACATTTGATGCTCTCTTCGCTGCCCGTATCCCTTAATAAATACCCGACATGGATGCTAGGAGCCAAGGACACGTGTGGAGCAGGTTCAGAACAGCGGGACATCACTTCTTCTAACAGGATTTTTTATGTGGCCAAAAATGACACCCGCACGCTCACGGCGTTCAGCAGACACAGCAGGTCGCAAATTACAAAAACGCCACACTTTGTTTTTCCTTCCAATAAAATCAAGGAGTGACAGCTTTAATGTGAGTGAGCAGAGGGGGGTGGGGGGTGGGGGGTGGGGGGGGGGGGGGGAACGGGCTCCGGGTGACGAGCGTGTAGCAGCTGAAAGAGAATGCGCCACCTGTCCTTGTCCTTGATGTGAATAAGAGGATGATACATCAGAAAGTGACAGAGCAGAAAGATTGTTATTACCCTGGCAGAGAGCAAGCGGGAGAGGAGGAGTAGAAAGAGACTATTTTTAGTGGTAGAGTAAAAATACACCAGGACTCCATTTGTCGTCTCCTCGGTTAGAGACGTAAGGACGCGAATATCTTGTTCTGGTAAGTTTGGCGAATGCAGGAGCAATAATCTGATGCAGGTGAATAATCTGAGCGGGATTGAGCTCGGTTCAGGCTGATCTCAGCGCGGTTTGATCAGAACAGCAGGTAGGCAGCAGCTCGAGGCCCTGGGTTGTGCTGATTGATTTCAGCGGGCTCTGTTCTCATCGATCCTTCATCCCCGCCGCTGCCTCTTCACCAATTACGAGTTCACTGAGCCATAACTCTTAATTAATATCACCTCGCTGCCAAACTCTGCTGTGTTTACTGCTCTGCCCCTGCTGGGGTTTTGGTTTCCCTTTATCTGCTGCTCCTACGCTCCGTTTGTACTAAACAGACACGAGGATGGAACTGACGTGGATATGTGATGAGGGGGATTTGGAGAGCTGTTCAGATTGGTGTGCGAAACGCACCTCGCCCAAATCATGGCACGCCTACCCTGCAGCCAGGTTTTAGAGGTTAGAACGAACCCAGATACTCTGGATGCAGAAATCCAGCATGTGTCAGGCGAGGAAGATCAAAAGATTCATTAGATGAGCTTTAGATCAAGCACGGTCAAAGCTCTGTGGACACACAGGCAAGGAGTGTGTAAGAGGGAAGGTGGTTGATGTAAAAGGAACTGAAAACCAGGAGCAGACAAGCTGCCCGACTCAGAATCTTTGTAATTGCTGCATAAATACTATCCAAGGTGCCTCCGTTCCTTTCATCTGAGCTTTTGACAAGTCAGGCTGTTGATCTGAACACCTTCAGGGTGCAGCGGGATGCACGGTTCACAGCTACAGGTCAGTGTTACCCCTCCAAACCCATCACTACACTGCACTGGCACAGTGAGAAAATACCATTTCAGAGACCTGTAATAGCAGAAAGCTTACTAGGCACACTAGAGACCGTAGGGAGAGGTGCGTAAGGGAGGCTGGTGGTGTAGGCGATGAGCACTAAAATGGAGATTAGGTGGAGCTGGAGTGAAGAAAACCAGAGAGATGAATGCTGCTGGCTCAGGTGTTACCCTGTCAGTCAGTATTTACCCCCTGCTACTGACACTATCATCACCTAGCTATCAGTGTGGGGCTACACCTCCTAAACAAGCAGCCTGACTTTAATGAAACTGTCCCTGGACAAACGTTTACCCCGTCAGAATAGATGCTGAGTCAAGATGGCCGCTACAGCTAACTGAAATTAGCAAACACAGTTAAAAGAATGCTACCTTTCCTTCCCCTGCACACCTGTTCTGCACCACAGGTGTGCAGGACTTCAGCAGGGACTCATCAGCTTTAAGTGAGCTCCAACAGTTCTGGGGTCGATGCGGAGCCAAATCCCGCTCACATAGAGCAGTCCCAGCAGCTCTATTCTTGACATTAAAATGAGCTGCTCCACGACTCTGTCACTTTAATGCAAACGAGCTGCTGTTGGCCCCGCCCACGTATAGCTGATTGGCTGCTATGAGGTGAGGAGCTCAGATATTTGGGAGTAGCTCCTGCTCCTCCTCTTTCAGAGCAGAGGCCTCCCTTAGGGGTGAGGGGTGGTTCTGTGCTAATTTTCCTTATTGTGACATCACAAACGAGTACATTTTCAAACGGCCATAGATGTGCATGATTCCTGAAACCAAACAGAAATCGGATGTATGGATTTAATTCATGTTTGGAGTTTTTATAGAAGCAGCAGGGACCCACATGGCAGCATAAAAGGATGCAGAAGGTCAGATTTGCATCATGTCCCCTTCAAGTTGTCCAGACGTAGATTGAGCTTAATCTTGACAGGAGTCGCTGACCGCCGTCCTGAAGGGCTGTCAGCTTTGAAGGCTACGGTTAGTTTTAAACTCAGGCATGACAGGTGGTGCTGGATGATCTGAGGACGGGTGGGACTTTGACACCGTTCAGGAACAGCCTCACAGACTTGTACTCGTATAAAGCTTTCTCAAGCCCAAGGCCTCCTCAGCACTTTAAACTTCACTCCTGTTTCATCAAACCGTAAATGCATCACAGCTCTTTGCTTGTGAAGTGGAACTCTGGCACGAGTCCTTTGTCGGAATTTCACAAGAAAATAACTCATTTACATGTTATTGAGGTTACCATCGCCACCGAGCCCTGCTGTACGGGGTTCTGGACTGTGTCATCCCAGTGCCAGAGTGGGGTGTGTCTGTTTGGTTTGCCTCAATAATGGAAAGCATCTCGGCGTGCGTCTTCGTCCAAAGCGAGCAGAGATGAAAGCAACATCACAGAAAATCCATACGACACGTAGCATTGATAAGTCAGCGGCAAAGCTGAATGCAGCTGATTACCACCAGGCTTGATGAGGAGGAAGGAAGCGTTAATAAACCTGAGTCAGTCAGATTTTGTTTATGTTCTGAACTCTCTGGGTCGCTGCTCTTGGCACCACAGTTAATTCTGTCATAAATTATTCACCGCTGTAAGGAACCTGTGACAAACGACCACAGATACAGCCAAGATCTAAATGCTGAGGAGGACTTTGGACAAAGACTTTCATGCAAAATCCCAAAACACACAGCAGCTTTGGAAACATGACTGCTGCTTGGTACAAGTGAGACGGGCCTGAAGCCGCCGCCCCTCCAGAGACAGACAGGGCAGTGAAGCCTGCACTCCGCGGCCAGCAGGGTATAATTACATTTCCCTGTGGGGCACCTTCGCCTTGGCTGCACCAGCTCAGCCTGCCAGAGGAAGGAGATTTAAATCTGATTCACACATCAACAGTAAACACGCTGATCTGAGTCTGGTGCACAAGCGGGGCAAAGAAACACGCAGAGCCACATTCACATGCAAGTGTCCTCATTTGGACCTGCTGACTATAACTCTCTGTCCATGAGAACACTTTTCAGGGAGGAGGGCCTGGGAGAGGATTGTCAAAAAGCACTTCAGCCTCTGGTGCATCAGAGCAAAGAGAACTCACATTTAAATATTGATCTCCTAAAGCCGCCTCGTCACGAGACGCGGTAATAGCTCCTCGTGTTCAGACGAGCCGGGATTCAGGTGAGTGCTACTTACTGTCAAACTACTAAAACATGCTCCAGTTGTCAGGAAGCGAATGAGAAATGCAATCGCTGTGAAACACCAAATTTGAGTCAAAGTTTACCTTTAGGCTCCACTAATCATGTTTAACTGGGACACCTGATGACGGACATCCATCCACAGGAGAGAAGATTGGAAAATCGTTGCCAGGAAAGTAAGAAATGGTTCAGATTTCAGCCAAACTGACGTCGCTCTGAGCGGTTCGTTGTAGCGAGGCAGGAAGCGAGCGGGAACACAGCTGCAGCATTTTACATCCTTAACTCCAGCTTTCTTAAACCTTTCTGTGACAATGAAAGGTCAAGGTGACGCTTAAAGAAGCAGACATCAGCACTGCCCGCGCGCCCCAGGCCTGCAGAGACCGCTGAGAGGTGTCACCTTGGCTGCTGATGCTTGCTGCCCCCCGGGCTGAGGCGGCGCTGACGACAGGTTTTATCAGGAGCATTTTCAGACTGCAGATTGGAGAACACGCTCCCTGCTTCCAACGACAGCTTGAATCAACAGCTACAGCGTGCAGCATTAGCATACGATACATATTCATGCACGTCTCCCGTCAACTGCATCAACCAGCCCTGTTGCACGTCTCAGACCAGAAACACCAGAGTCCCACACGGCCTCTTGTGCACTCTCAACATGGCTGCTACAAATATCAACAGGTCCCAAGGTCACCAACCCACTGATAATGTGAGAGTGGGTGCGGGTCGGCTGTGATCTGAATGCATTTTCTACAACGCTGGCAGGAATGGCCGAGCGAGCTCCTGCATCTGGAGAGTGTGTTGGCATAAATAGGAACAAAACGTACGCGTGGGTGTAAGCGTGCAGTTGCAGCTCCAACAGACCGGGGACTACAGCACCTCAGGTAGGATGAGCTCCTCCAGCCCGCTGGCGACTCGGAGAGAAAAGAGGCCAGTTGATGTGGGGTTAGAGCTTCCATGAGAGTGTTGTGATAAATAATGAATGTTGAAAGAACAGATCCCTGCAGCTTCTTTACTTTCCATCCATCCCTCCATCTTTGCATTTATTCAGCCATCCAGCACGATCCCTGCAAACAGCATTCAGGAACGTTCAGCTTTCCCAGCCATGAATATTTCAGCTGCTTGGTCAGTCCTCGCACCGCGCTCCACTCCACTGCTCTTAATCGCCATCGCTTGGTGATGACACAGCCCTTTGACCCATAAAAATATTGACAAAACACTGATAGTGAGTATATTGGTGGGGACCAGCCTCGTACGCTGGAGCTGTGCAGACACCAGCAGGGTGGCAGCAGCTGCAACAGTTGAAATGGCGACTCCTGAGTGAGAGGTGGATACCTAACCAACGTCTCTATAAAGGCTGGCACCACTCAGCCTGCCCAAAACCAGACGCGTGCGACCTCAAAGACACATCTGTTCTGATTTTGTATCTTTTTAATAACATTTCAAACTTTGACAGCATTAGAAATGACATCAGGAACTACCTGTGAACATGTGGGGCAGCAGTAGCTCAGGTGGTAGGGCGGGTTGCCTCATGATCGGAGGGTCATGGGTTCGATTCCAGCTCCCGCCAGGGGTATCCTGCTGTTGTGTCCTTGGGCAAGACGCTTCACCCAACTTGCCTGTGTTAGTGGTGGTCAGAGGGGCCGACGGCGCCAAATGCCAGCCTCGCCTCTGTCAGACCTCCCCTGGGCGGCTGTGGCTACAAGTAGCTCACCATCACTAGCAGTGTGTGAATGTGAGAGTGTGTGAAAGCATCTTTGGGTGTCTAGAAAAGCGCTATATAAGTTCTATGCATTATTATTATTATGTTATGTGCTGCAGACACACAGCATTCATTCATTCAGAGCCTGACCCCAGACCAGAAACATGCTATAATACCGGTGAAGCACAAAGAACTTTGACAACAACCATGGAAGAAGCACACGTAGAGAACTTCTTCCACTCATAAACAGCACTTTGTCTACTCGCTGCTCTGACTCAGAGACGGATATGTGGAGCATCGTTAGATGAGAGGTCTGGTCCCTCCTAGCCCGATGAGCAGCGCCGTTAGCGGCATGCATGAATCTCAGCAGCAAGCAGAATGGATCAGAGCATTCAAGTGTAAACTAGGGCAAAGCTCCTGCTCTGTATCATAAGCTAGACTTGAAGAAAGTCCTGCAGAGGACCACTTTCCTGGCCACAGAGGGACTCATGCGGCCATCCCTCACTAACACACATGCACAAAAACAAATTCACACACCTGCTGGCCGTCTGGTCGGTTCAGATCCGGTCCGGTCCACTGTGCTGGCAAAGTGAGGAGCTGGTGTCACCCCCCGCACAGCCCAGTGCAGACAGCTCACTGTTATGGATGCACTGACAAGTGAAAAGGGGGAGGCGTGGTTTCACATGAGATAAATAAAAGGGGGAGGGAAAGAGGGAGGAGAGAGGCTCCCTCAATCTACAATTCAATTTTGCCCTCGCTCCTTTTCAGCCGTTTTTTGTCCCCATCTTTAACAGATTCTCGCTCTTATTTCAGCCCTCCCTCTCTTCCTCCACCGACGTTTCCAGTCCTTTTGCCTTTCTTCTTCTGCGGTGCTTCTGGCTTTTCCCTCTTCCTCCCTTTACACTCTCATTCATGAGCAGGCATGCAGAGGTGCGTGTAAAAGTGCACGAGTGTGTGTGTGTGTGCAGACATTGCACCGGGGCAGTTCTGGCCATCTGCTGGAGCCAGTCAGCTTCACCTATTCACAGTCTCATTAAGGCAGAGGCACACGGAGGAGTGGGAGAGAAAGGAATGGGAGGGAACGAAGGATCAATCTTGCTGCTACAGGGTAGAGGAGAGAAGGCACAGCCTGCTATGCACATCTCCGTCAGGCTGGCACGAATGTGGGGAGCTGGCATGGGCTTCAGGCAGCAGCGGGGATTTGGTGCACAGACCACGAGGAAATAAAAGCACTCCCAAGTCTATTTGTGCACAAACTCACTGGAGTGTAAATGGATGAGTTAGCACACTCGTGCACACAAATCCACAACAACACTTTCCTTCTTTCACAAAACAAACAGGAGCTATCAAGATGGATAATCCTGGAAATATAAACAGACAAGTAGACGGAGGAGGATTCTCAGAGCTGAACCAATCCCTCCATCCTAGCAGAGCAGAAGAGGGAATTTTCTTCTTCCTGTTTAAGCCAGGTATGTCTCAGGTGTCACTTCTCATCCCTGACCAGGAGGGAGCGGGTGGCAGAGGGTGGAGGCATCCATCTCTGTCTGCAGCAGCTATGCCATGATGGATGCGCCTGTGCATCCCTCTCTGCAGGTTGTTTAGATGCAGTCACAGCCAGAAAGATTAGTGATGGGAACTTCTGCACCACTCTGCCTCTCCTCCCAGCTCACCTAATCAATAACACTCCTATCTATAATCAGCATTTTGAGCTATTTCTTTGTGGAGATTTGAAGAATTGAGAGAAAGAGAGATGAATTGTCCACCTCCCCTCTGTGTTTTGAATTACCATGTTGTCTGTGGATCATTTATCTGTCAGCTTGGCACACCAGACTATTGGTGTCTCTGGAAAAGGGAAAAAAAAATCATGCTGTTTGGAAATAAATCTATTTTTCTCGCTATGACTGTTTCACACAGAGGAAGAAGACAATTATTCAGAGCAGCAAAGTGGCGTGGCATTTAAGGATAAAGAAACTAAGCCAAGCCAGTAGGAACCATCAGCCCCTAATAATAATGGATCAAGATTATGACTCACACTGAAGCAGAATATATAATTCAGGCAAATTGCTAATTTTTTTCAATATAAACATTCAATATACAAATATAAGAAGCATTTAGCAGCTCAGCCATGCTGGATTAGAGACAATACCCCAGAGACAGCCCCGTTATCCCAGAGCTGTGCCAACGCAGCAGACCAGTGACCGTAGGCGCATGGTCTATTCACACACACACACACACACACACACACACACACACACACGCACGCACGCACACACACACTTACACACACTTACACACACACACACACACACACACACACGCACGCACGCACGCACGCACGCACGCACACACACACACACACACACACACACACACACACACACACTTACACACACACACACACACACACACACACACACACGCACGCACGCACGCACGCACGCACACACGCACGCACGCACGCACGCACGCACACACACACACACACACACACACACACAAGGTAACAGTTAAAGAGGGAAACTCAGACAGCCCTCTCACCAGCAACACTCTCTGCCTCCTCCTGGGAAATCCTCAGGTGTTTCCAGGATGCAGAGGATAAATAATCCCTCCAGCGAGGTCCTGGTCTGCCCCGAGGTCTCCTCCCAGTGATATGCTGATAACCTCCAGTGGAAGCAGGAGGCATCCTAATTAGATGCCAAAACCACCTCAGCTGACTCCTTTCAATGTGAAGGAGCGGCATCTCTACTCTAGCTCTGCCCAGGCGATGGAGCACCACACCTCATCATTAAGGCTGAGCGAGGCCACCCTATGGAGGAGGCTCTTGTCAGCCACTTACATCCATGATCTCATTCCTTCACTGCCAAAGGACCAAAAGGTGAGGTTTTGACCAGACCAGTAAATCGTCAGTCCTTCCCTAGCACCATCCTCCCAACACTCAACACAATATTTGGGAATTCAAGATATTGAACTCCTTTTCTTGGAGCAAAGACTCATCACCAACCTGATGAAAGCATTATTCATTACCAGCTCAGTGTCCTAGTGGTAGAGTGTCCGCCCTGAGACTGGGAGATCAGGGTTCGATTCCTGGTCGGGTCATACAAAGACTTTGAAAAAAATGGGACCCAATGCCTCCCTGCTTGACACTCATCAGGTTAAACCACCAAATGGTTCCCGACAGCAGCTTGTCTGCAGCTCACCGCTCCCCCAGGGGATGGGTCAAATTTATTTATTTAACTTATGTTTTTCAGGAGGATAAACTGCTTGAGATGTAACATCTCGTTTTCGAGCAGGTCCTCCTACAACACAACCAATAACAAATAAGGTGGCAGAGTTAGGAAGTTATAACAGATTTAAAAAAGAAAAAAGAAGGAAAGTAAATTAATAATAACAATAAAAATAACGATATGTATAAATATGTATATACACACGTAAATATATGCGTACACACGCACAAATAAATACACATATGCATGGATACATAGATACCCACACATGTACATACATATGTAAATACCTTTATACACAATTAAATTGAATAAAACTGCTGTGAGGCACTCAAAAAGAAATAAGGGCAAAATATTACATTGTATTTAAACCTAAAGTGGAGTAATATCCCAGTTGAATACAGATATTGGCAACAAAAATCAGCATTTTAGCCAGTGAATGCACAGAATCATTATAACAAAGATTAAACAAAGCAACTACAGCTCGGCTTTACATAAGCATAAACAGTGCGGGAAAATTGGCGAATTGAAGAGATAGATCTTAATTCAGTGGGTAATTTATTCCAGTCCTGAGGAACTTTAACACAAAAGGCGAGTCTACCCACCTCCTTTTTAAAACGAGGAACAACAAATGATGGAAAAGTAGCTAAACGGGTAGAATACAAGGAATCAATGGGAACCAAAAGAGTTTTCAGATAAAGTGGAAAATCAAAATAAATGCACTTAAACATAAATATCAGCTAATGAAATTGTCGTCTAGCTTTTAAAGGCAGCCAACCAAGAAGTTCATAAGAAGTTAATTTAAACATGAGAAACCGCATCTGCCG